GGAGGTAGTTGATTTTGAAAATGAAATGAAATGTCTAATAGCTAAGGAGTAACACAGTTTATGGTTATTCTGGAACCTTAGATTGTCATAATGCCTTTGCATTGCTTGTGAGACCACCAACAGAGCAGGCCAACGTACTGCTCAGCTTCCAGATGACATCAGAGGAGCTTCCAAAGGAGAGCTGGCTGAAGATGCTGTGTCGACATGTTGCCAACACCATTTGTAAAGCAGATGCTGTAAGTTCTTAAACCTGTGTCAAATGCAGGTATAAACATGCACAGTGCAGCCAGACTGACTGTACATTTCCAGTGGTGACTTAATCATGAATTGGAGAGAGCCTTTATAGTTTTATTCACATACTAAAACCTAGGTTGTTTAGGAAAAGGTTTTTACATTTTTAGGCCCATGAGATATCACTTGAGTCCCTGATTCCCAGATGGTCAGTTTTAACTTTCTAGCTCTGTGGCTGTAATTTATAGTGAGGCTTTTGGGCACTTAGAATGCTCTGTGTGTTTTTTTGCAGATGCTTTTTCTTTTACTCAGAATTTATTATATGGACATTAAGTTAATTTTGCACATCTAATGTCTTGTGTTGTTGCAAGTTGTTTTCTAATTTCTATTTTTTTTAAATTAGAAAATTATCATTTCGTGTTTACCAATGTTTTGCCTGCATGTGTGTTTGTGACCTGGTGCCCATGGAGGCCAGAAGAGGCCATTGGATCCCCTGGAACTGGAGTTGCACATGGATGTGAGCCACCGTGTTGGTGCTGGGACTCATACTCCTGCCAGTGCTCTTAGCTGTTAAGCCATCTCTCCAGCCCATTCAAATCAAAAACTTTTGAAATCCAATAATGAAAGTCTTTGCTCAGCGGTGTTCCAAAGTTTCTGCAAGCTCTCTTCATTCCTATTTTTCTGTTTTCCTTTGACTGTATTTTGAGATGCCTGCTTTTGAGCACAGTATTTTATTTTTATTGTTTGACTTACCCTGACATTGATGCTTTCTCCTATTGTCTTTGTAACATTGTGAATTTTTTCTGCACAATGATTTTTTAAATTGCTTCCATCACTATTAAGTGTCTCTGCTGAGTATTGAATCTTTTCTGTCTTCTTGAGACTTGAATTTTTTTAAAACTTTTTTTTTAAAGTTGCAGAGTATATAGTCCATCATAGTGATGAAGCCAAGGCAGTGGGAACTCAAAGTGGCTGGTCACATTCTCTCACAGTGAAGAGGCAGAGTGATGCTTTTGCTTCCTTTTCCTTCTCCTTCTTACATAGATCAGCATCCCAGAATGATGCAGAAGAGTGCCACTCATAGACAGGCCTGGTCACATCAATTATCTTAATCCAAATAACCCTCCAAAGGCACACCACGCCAAGAGGCCTGGATTCGATGATTCTAGACTCAGATTAACAATACTGGTGGTAGAAGCATTCTTTCTACTGATGGTTAACGTGGTTCTTCAGTGTAGCCCCTGGTTTGGGGACTTTGTTCAGTATTAGTTTCATCATGGTATGCCCTTTGTTGAGTTTCAAGTCCAGGGCCTGAACTTAATTCTTCCCAGGCCAGAGGCATCTTCCCACTTTGCTTCAAGATGAGGAGAGAATGATGCATTTTGCCTTCTTCAGTGCATCCTCCTTTTGGTTAAGTTTAAAGCAGACACTGTACACTCATCTGGCTTTCGTAGGATGACCTCGTTTACTATCACTGTACCATCTTGCTTGCCACTTCAGCCACTGTCATGCTTTGCTCCTATCCTGTAATTTCCATCAGTGTTCTTAGGTAGGGATAGTATTGCAGAATATTCCTCTTTCAAAGTGCTTGGAACCAGAAGCGTCTCACATGTTGGCAAGTTTTTTACATTGTGGAATATCTGTAGACTTTCCTGGTCAGATATATCTCTCATCTGAAGTTCTGAGATAAATTGCTCCAGAACTCAGTATTGAATGCACATTTTGGATTTCAAATTATTGGATTTTGATTTCAGATTGTTAGATTAGGGAAGCTTGACTGTTGCATTGTGTTCTCCTTCTACTGAGAGCAGTGGAAGTTTGCTTTTCCTGTCAGGACAAGTTGCCAGTCCAGTTTTCTCACAGCAACTCTTAAAGTACCTTCATACTAGAGGGATTACGATGGAGAGCTGGGTGTGGTGACTGGAAGTAAATGAGTTGCCAGTTATTTGAGATTCTGTAGTAGGTTTTGGATAAATTCAAGGTCCCTTGGAAGATAACTTGATCTTCATATGGGATCTGGTTGTTGTTACTCTGCAGAAATGATACAGCAAATAGAATCTTTTGCTGAAAAAGGTTGACACTGTTTAGTAGTAACAGTATTAAGAGTTGCTTGGCCCTTCACATGGGAATAACACTGTACCCGAGTTACACTTGCCTTACAATGATACGGAAGTTTACACATAGCTTAGCAGGGAGCAGGGTGGCTTATGCAGTCCTTTCTAGGTGGATAACTCTGGAACATTGAAATGCAAAGCTAATGGGAAGTTTTGCTTAAAATGTAAGCATTGGCTTATTAGCTATAAGATGAATAACCATTAGAACTAAACTACAAGCAACAAATGCAGAAAGTTTCAGATAATATAATTATCCACAAGATGGCAGCAAACAGTTATCTATGTTCTGATTTATACTTATACCATAGAATTATTCCAATCTGGTGAAAATTTTTTTTCTTAAGATTTGCTTATGCATTGAAAGATTCGGTGACATCAGTAAGCTCTTTTCTGAGTTTAAGGTTTCACACATAGTAAAAAAATTTAAAGCCCCTACTTTAATGTCTTATTTGAGAATATTTTGCCATGTTGAAGAAAGTATGTTTCTAAATATGTATGTTCAAATGATATAAATATATGTGCAACTGGTATTTTTTAAAAAAGCAATTCTGATTCTTTGAATCAATATTTTTGTTTTGTTTTGTTCTGTTTTAAATTTTCTAGTCCCCTAAATAATAGAGGGTTGCTCATTTTGCTGAAGTCTTCTTCTTTGATATGTAATCCCAGGGAGTCCTCAGACCAGTAGCGATCTTCTTGCCTTAGCCTCTCATACTCTAGGATTATAATACCAGCTTGAGGCTGTTTAACTGAGTAAAATAAGTATGATTATTTTATTGTATATACTGTTTCATTTGTTGTGACCATTTGTAGATGAGTTAACAAAGCTTTCAGGATAAAAGAAAACTTTAAAACCATCCATGTGAAATGAAAGCCGAGAATAATGACTGGTGGTTGTATAGCAGACAGGCATCTGTATTCTCAGTCAAAGCTTTACTGGATCTGTGTGAATTTCACATCATGTATCCCAGTCCCACTCTTCTCCTCTCATATCTGCAACCTCTTTCACAACAGAGAGAAAAAAAATCTCCTTGTGGAAGCTGTTGTGTATCACAGTGTGTCCCATAGTGTATCCTTCGGTCCACACTTCTTTGCTTGCAAATGTTTGTTTTAATGACTTTGGTTTGCTTCGAGGCGTTTGGCTTCTGCTACACTCTCAGTACTGGAACCACTGGGACTCCTCTCAGACATTCTGTTGTTGCCCTGTGTCAGCCATCCTGCGGTTTTGGATCTGTAGGAGTGGCCTCCTCATGTACACCAGCAGTTCATTGCTGGGCTAGATGTTAGGGTGGGCCAACTCAGTGCCCTGGATTGGGACCTGAGCTTGTCAGCCTGCTGACTCTCCAATCTCACACCATTGGGAAAGCGAACCCCCCAACCCCTCCAGCCCCCCCAAAAAAATCAGGGTCAGCTCTACTGTAGAAGCAAGTGAGGGATTGAGCCAGCTTTCCTGCCTGTCATAGGTGTAATGGCAAAAGTGGGGGAGGAGATCTCTCACTCAACAACACTGTACAGCAGACAAAGTGGTAGGGCTGGCTCTCCCGTGCTCACACCCTCAGGGATGGTTTATCTGTACACCTACCCCTAACCCCTGCCTCCCACCACCTCCACGGTCAGCTCTGCTGTACTGCCCAGGTGAAAGTGTGCTGCCCCCTCTCCTAAGTGCTGCAGCTGGTGAGGAACAGGGTCAGACCTGCTCTCATAACCCCAGTGTTAGGTCTCCTGCAGCCTACCAGAGGTGGCAGAGCTCAGGTGGGGAGGAAAGTGTCTCTCCCTTATCCACGCCACTGCAAGGGAGTGGTAGAGAGGAGACAAGTGAGGTAGCTTTCCTCACGCTCATCCGCTGGTTAGCTCACCTGCAACTACTGCATTGTTGAGGAAGCATGGCAGCTGGCTAGGGTTGGGGGTCAGGTCTTCCTCTTCCGTACACCAGAGCCAGTTCTGCACAGCCCTCAGATAGCAACATTTCTCTAAGAGGCATCCTGGATCAGGGACATCCTCCTGGCCTTTGGTAACAGACCCCTGCTGCTGCAAGGCCATGGATCCAGACGTTCCCCAACCTTCAGTTGCAGCACAGTCCAGGATCCAGGTGATGTCATTGGTCACTCACATCAGGCTGTTCCTCACTACCCCTGAGTCTCCAGTTCTATCTCTCTTCATTGTGCCCCCACCCTTCTGTTTCTCTTTCTCTTCCATTTCTCCACCACTTACTTGTTCATCTTAGTGACTCTTGGGATCTCTGAGTATCTGGAGTCTTAGGAGTGGTCTTAGGAGCGCTCGCTATGCACAGCTTGTGCATTATAGCTCTAGGCAAGGGCCATCTTGGGCATGGTCTGCTCCTCCAGGCCTTTGTGGTGCCAGACTGGTGGTCATCTAAGGCTAGCTCCTTGTCCAGGTCCTCTGGCACTGGTCTGATGGTCTCCTTGGGCTCAACTCCTCACTGGGTTCACCTGAGTGGCCCCATACAAGGGTAATCTGTCTCACTCCTGCCCAAGGGCCCATGGTCCCAGGTGCAGTTCATCCTGTACCCAGTTTGCTCCACACCCTGGATGCCCATGTTGGCCTTTGAGGCACCAGACTGGTGGTCATCTCAAGCTAGCTCCCCATCTGGGACTCCTGGCACCAGCACCAGATTGGTGATTATCCCAGACTTGGTTCTTTTCAGGGAATGGCAATCATTTAAATGTTCACAAATCAGAACAGAGTGAAGACATGGCCTGTCTCTCTGCCATCTACTGATGCACATGTGACATAGCAGCCACACTTGTAAGTCTTTTAGGGGCAGGGCATCAAACCTTGTGTTATCTCTGCTCTCTAATTATATGATGCCCCTGTGTTTTCAGAATATAAAATGTAAAGTTTAGTCTGCTTAAAGTGTTAACTCGCTGTTTACAACGAAATTTCTGGTCTCAGTCTCTTGCCAACATGTGTATTTTCAGTGTTGTCATCTTTTGCCAAATCTAGTGAGTTGAGCAGTAACATGAGAATTAAATGTTCTATGCTATCTATCATTTAGTATTTTTGCCACTAACTCAATGTTTCTAATAAAAATAAAAAACATATTCTATATCTTGGGACTGGAGAGATGGCTCAGTGGTTAAGAGTGCCAGCTGTTCTTGCATAGCACTCAGGTGCTGTTCCCAACACCCACATGCTAGCTTAAAACCCTCTATCCAGTTCTCGGGGATCTGATGCCCATGCGTATCTCTGTGAGCACTAGGTATGCATGCAGTGTACATACATACATTCATACAGGCAAAATACCCATACACATAATGAAATGTTCTATCTCTTGATTTTAATTACTGCCATTGATTGCTTATGAATAGCAGTATTTTGATTTTTCTAGTCTTGTAAGCAGAATTATAACTCAAGGGGAATAGACATAGGACCTATAGGAAGAGACTTTTTTTTTTGTTAGCCAGTATTATTTATAATAAAGTTAATATGATTTTTATTTATAACTATTCTGTAAATTATATACAAGATGTATATTCCTTAGTATTCAAAATTGTTGCATCCTAAATGTTAAGATCCCAACCAAGTATTTTAGATTTTAGACTTTTTTTTTTACATTTTGAAGTATTTGCATATATATAATGTGATAAATTGGATATTATGCAAATTTAAACCTGCCATTCTTTTGTTTCTTATACTCATAGTCTAAAGATAATTTTGTGCCTGTGGGATCTCAAAGAGTAACTAGCTAGGGAGGTGAGCTTAAGGAAGGAAAGGAAGAACAGCCAGATGACTTGTGTTAGTGAGATGCTTTTATTGGCTTAAGATGCTAGAAATGTGAGATAATTTTTTGTATGCATGTTAACTAACATTCATAAGTAAACTTATAAACTAACTGAAGCTCCCTTTCATTTACAGTTGACTTGTTATACCTCAGGAGAGGCCTGTGTCTGCTTTTCAGTCTTCAATTCAGCACTTTTGTTTCAGTGTTCATCTTGGGTTCATAGACATTGTGTGGATTCGAAAAACTGCTTTCCCATGGCTTCTTCTATGTTTGACCACTTGACTAAACTGTAAATGTTTTCAGAAGTACAGAATTGTTTCAGAAAATATGAGGCCGAGCTATGCCTTAGATTTCATTTATATTTTATTTAAGAAACTCGGAGAAAAAGATTAAAAATGAAGGATATTTTCAAAGCGCCATAATTACTAATGAGAAACAAGAGCCTGGGACTACCCAGCTGTGTTTCCCCCACTTTGCACATTTGCCTGCATCTCCTCACTCCTGCTTAGAGAACTGAGGGACTGAGGGAGTGCTTCCTCCTTGGTTCTTAGCAAACAGCTCTGTTGTTGTTCTGTCCTCTAGTGGAGAACCTGGGCATTTCCCCTTTGGTTATTCTGGAGGGAAGCCTTCTCTGGTTGCAAAAGACCTTATGTTTATCTTCTCAAATCAGAAGGATTTATTTGTTCTTTAAGAAAATAACCATGAAAGCACTTTTCCCCTTTTTAGTTCTTAGATATGCTGAGTAATAGTTATAGCAATAGGAAAATGGAACATGAACTTGCTAACACCACCCTTTTCTTATATCAATTGCTAGAGTTTATTATATGTGTGTAAATGTTTTGCCTGCATGTATGTACATGTACCATGTGTGTGGAGTGCCTGTAGAGACCAGAAGAAGCTATTTGATCCCCAGAAGTGGAGTAAACAGATGGTTGTAAGTTGCATGTGGGTGCTGGGAAACATGACCGAGTCCTGTGCAAGAGTAGTAAATGCACTTTACTGCTGAGCCAGCCCTCAGACTTAAGTTTTAAACTCCTTCATTGTAAAGAACGTTTACTGTATTTATTGTAAATAAAAGCATATAATGGATGCATTTATTTTTGTAGGCTTTGTTTGCACAGCTATGAAGTTACATTCCCATTGGGAGGCAGTGCACTGCTTCAGTGTACACTTGATTTGTGGTGCTGTATGTAAAGCAGGGCAGGGAGCAGAACCTCACTGTTAACTGTAGCCAGAGGTGTGTGTACTCACTTAAGGGCCAGTCACTGCGGAGGAGATTAGACAGCCGCGGACCTATCAGGACCTTCAACTGTTCAGTAAAGTAGTGAAAGCACACAGTGTGTAGGTATTTTTCTTTAATGACATCTCAGTAACATTTGTTATGAAATATGTAAGAATCATCTATTGAGAAACATGCAAACTATTTTAAGAAGTTTGTATTTGTGTAGGATTATAGTTCAATGGTAGAGTATTCATCTTGGCAATTTCCAAGACCTGCTTTCAATATCTAGCACAAAAATAATGAAACAGAAATCTGCAATATTGAGCCCTTTATTGTACCTGAGTAAGAATGTTAATATACAGGTGTACATTCATCTTTAACTAGTTTACAGATTTCTTCTGTCTCTAAAATCCTGTGGAAAACTTTTAGAATTTGATAGAATGATCCCTAAGATAATTTCTAAAGAAAATACAGTGGTACCTAGAAAATTTAGTAGTGCCACTACCATTTGAAATACTAAATTATGCTTAAGGTTTAAATGTGGCATTTGTTTATTTGGGAGAGTGGATGTGTATGCCACTGTGCTCTTGTGAAGGAAGCCAGGAGGATAGCTCATAGGAGTACATTCTTTCTTTTCACCACAGTGGTTCTGGGATTGAAATCCGGCATCAGTCTTACAGACAGATGACTTACTCAGTGCTTTCATCTTTCTGGCCCTAAAATTGTACTTTAAAAAACATTATAGCAATCAATATATTACACTGTTTTAAAGTTTATATATGAACCTATAGGAAGAGTAAGATAACAAAAAATATTTTACACAGATGAATGTTTTGCCTTTGTGGATGTTTGGGCATTCAGTGCACAAGGAGGCCAGCGAGGGCATTGGATCCCCAGGCACTGCAGTTACAGATGGTTGTGAGCTGACAGGTGGGAGTTTGGAATCACTTGGTCCTCAGGAAAGCAGGCTGTACTCTTCAGCTCCAGAATAGATGGTCTTGAAGTAAGGCTATCATATTAGTGTAGACCATAACTAAAGTTATTAGCCCATGGAACTACAAACATTTGTTAAGTATTTAGAACTTAGATGGATATTCTATTTCTTTCCACGTAAATTATAAATATAAGTTAAGTGTGAAAAAAGAGACAGACCATTTAAAAAACAAATACATGTGGCATGTTTTGCGTCTTTTAAGTAGGACTTGGTAAGACAGAAAGGCTATAAAGAAAGGATATAATGAGGTATCTGTATGTTAATAAAGAATGTGAAGTAAAAGTGGACAGCAAGAATACAAGTAATAAAAATAAGTTTGTTGTTTTTGACTTTAACATTTTAAGATACAGATATCTGCAAGTACTATTATCTGTTGGGGATTGGATTAATCTGTAATTTAGCAGATGTGTCAAATGGAAAAAAGTGTGTCTGAAGGAGGCAGAATGACTTGCTTTTTTGCTTTTAATTTTAAAAGATTCATCTCATTTCTAGCTATGCGCGTGCATGTGTGTGGGGTGGTATGTGCATGTGAAGGGAGGTGGAGGACCGAAGAGCACGGAGTCTCTGGGCTGGAGTTAGGAGAGATGGGAGCCTCTGGACAGCTGTGCTCAGGAGTGCACGCTGGCTTCTGCTACAGCAGTGTGTGAGTTAACGGCTGGGCTATATAACCGGCCCCGAGTGTGACTACCTTCATGAAAAAACTAAGAAAGCAAAATAAGCTATTTGGCTGCTAATGGTGGAATGCAAATAGGTATACATATTTGACTTTTGTTTTAAGTAGCCATTTGTGATTGTAGGAACATGCTGTTTAATACTTTGTGCTTATAGTTTGGCATTTCAGTCAGTTCTGAGTACTATCAGGCTTTCTCCTTGGAAGTGCTTTGGCTAGCCATGCCAGATACTTTCTCATATATATATATATACTTTCTCCCATATATATATATATATATATATATGAGAAAACTTTCAGAAAAGAAAACTTTCACAAGATGATATATAGTTCTGCAGTTGCAGACTAGTAGTGCTAACTTGTGACTTCTCAGTGTCTAAAAAAAGATCAGGTCATTGATCTTTTTTTAAGTCTAGATTTATGGATTTAAAGTGAAAATCCTTAGTAGGAATAATGGGTAAACTTCCCTTTGAAAGTCCAAGTGGTATGTGTAATTACTTGGAGAAGGGCTGGAACTCTAGAGGTGATGGGGTCTGGGAAGATGGAGCCAATAAATGAGGCTGACTAGGGTCCCATACAGTAGCTTTATTCAGAGCGTCAGATAATGTATGATAGCCCTGAAGGTTAAGACGAATAAACTGTACAATCATACAGATAAGCTCCGGGAGGCAAAGACATGTTTTTCCATAGAGTCATAAACAAATAATAGCCAGTTGTACTGAATAATCTGAAGTAAACTCACTCCTGTCCACTACACCTGGGAGGACATGAGAACAGTGCAAGAGCAGTTCCATGTTTTGAAGAAACTGTGGTCACAAGACTCTTGACTTGCTTTCTTGGAATTTTCTCATAAGCACTTAGAATTCCCCTCACATGAGTCCAGTTCTTGGACGTGTTCTGACAAAGGTTATCTTGTTTTAAGGGTAATTTTGTTCCCTGATTCTTTACTTACTTTAGGAGAGGGTTTTCCTCCTTGGGGAATGCACTCTATAATCCGTGAGCCCTCTTCTTTGGAAAGAACATTTTCCTCATATTTACACAAAATATTTGCAGTTTTCAGGGTGTAACATACACCCTGATATCTAGCTGATGTTTCTGTAGGAAGTGAGGATGTTGGGCCAGAACTTCTAATTTAGATTTCTTCCAGACACAAACTGA